TTTCATTCTGAACATCATTAACATGTAAATATCATAATATTAATGTTGTCCATATTACTGCATAAGTAGAAAAACTGTGGATCAGAGTTTCTTGATTAGGGCTATACTCAGATTTAGGATTAGAACTTCTATAAGTTGTTGTGTTGTTATCCTTCTGATTTGCTGTTTAATAAGAACTGAATGAATTGCTGGTGTGCTGATTAAAAGTCAAAATGTAACACAGAACTTCTATTTTTCACTCACCATTTTAACACACAGAACTTCTAGGATTTTCTCACTGTTTAAGCATGCAGAACCTCTGAGTTCTCTTCACTGTTTTAACACACAAAACTTATATGATTTTTTCTCACTGTTAACACACACTGAACTTCTGATTCTTACATGTTGATAACGCACTGAAATGTTAATGTTCACTCACTGGCTCAGCATAATTCAAAACTTCTGATGATTCACTCACTGTTCTAACACAGCACATAACTTCTGAGTTCTCCTTACATGTCAAATACACTGAACTTATGATGTTTCCACTCGTTGTTTTCAAACACTCAGAGTTTCTGATTTTTACATGCTGATAACGCACTGAACTGCTGACGTTTACTCACTGTTTTAGTGTAATACAGAACTTCTGACTTGTGGCCCATTGTCTAAATACCACCCAGAACTTCTGTATTTTTCCTTTAACGTGTCTTGCAGGACCTCAGAGTTTACCAATCTAGAACTTTTGATTTCACTGACGTTCCTTTCTGAGTCATCACGCGCCTGGCTTCGAAACTTCTGATCCTTGTTGTTTTGCTCGCAGCAGCATTGTTTCTATCTTTCATTTATTTTCTTTTTCATAATTTTTAATATTAACTCCTTTTTTTATTAACATAAAAAAACATAAAAATATTTTATTTTATTAATTAATTAATTTCTTTTTTTTTCATTAAGACAAAAAAAACCATTTTCTAAACAAGTTCCTTTTTTTTCTTATATTGTACATTTCAATATGGTTGTAATAGTAACTTAGGACTTATTTTTATTTGCAATCCCCATTTGTAAATATGTACCCCCATCCCCTAAATATTGTAATAGCGTAGGACTTTACATTTCTGCAACTTATCGCTTTCAAATGTAAATGCTAGTAATTAAGGTGTGTATGGCAAGATATGAAAATCAATAAATAGATCACCTTAAAAAGCAAGACTAAATGCATGCAATCAAACACACTTTGCACACATGCACACATGCACCCTTAGGGTAATCCCACTTCGTTTCCTATCGAAAAAATAGTCATGTCCCTCGAACATGGGCGTTTTAGCAAAAGACTCTCGATAAAAGATCGTAGTCCCTCGATGACCCTCGATGTTGCCTTCGATAAACGATCTAGTCCCTAAAACGATATTGCTAAAATGTCTCATGGGTTGCCTTCTATGACTATACAAACGTCTCATGCCCGTCCCTTCACATCCAACAATGGGGCTTCTTACCAAATCAATGGTAAGATAGCAACATCTAAAGGAGGAGGAAAAGAACATCTAAGACCTTTTGAGTAGATAGGTTCGCTCTTAGTTACTCGCTTGCTCACAACAAAAACATTTTATACACCAACACTCTCATTTTGAAACACTTTTGAAAACAACACTTTGTACACGTTCTTATAGAAACGAGAGCCATTACAAAGGAAACCCTTTTCAAAATCATTTTCAAAAACATATCTCACAAACACCTCTTTGAACTATTTTCGAAACAAACACTTTGTATGCGTTCTTATAGAAACGAGAATCATTACAAAGTTACATTTTCAAAATACTTTCAAAAACCACACCACAAGTACATTCAAACAAAAGCAAGTGATCTAGCAAGTAACTAAGAGCCCATGGAAAACCATGGGTGAAAAGGGTGCTAATACCTTCCCTTTTCATAATCTACCCCCCGAACTCAAGAAAATATCTCTAAAGGTCTTTCCTGTGCTTTTTCACCTTTCCTTTTGGATAAAATAAAAGTCGGTGGCAACTCTTGCTAAACCGCAACATTTGTGAACACAAACGCAAAACAACCAAGTCAGTTCTCCCACCGTATCACACTAGCCAACACTCATCTACATAGTGTCTAATCTTCTCACAATTGTAACATTGTACCTTTCTTTTGTCAAAGGTTTTCTTCTTACTTTGGTTCTTTACAAGCCCTCCACCATTCTTGCTAAATGCTCTGGGCTTGTCATCACCATTTTATCTCTTTTGAATTGGCTATTTTCTTTGTTCTTATTTTACATTTCTTTGCTTGCTTCTAACTTCTTGAATTTTGCAATAAGTGCTTGTTCATCCTAACTTTCAGTTTCTCTTTTAACTACCTTCATATCAAAAGCTTCAAGAGTGTTTTGCAGATCTTCAATCTCCATGCTATCCAGGTGCTTAGTCACTTTAATGGTCACCACTGTATAATCAAATAAGAGAGGCAATATTCTAAAGAATTTCTCAATAATATTCACCTCATAGAAAGATTCACCATATTGCTTCTTCTTACTTTGGCATCACCACCAAAATATCTTTCAAGCTTTGTCATGTGCTGCTTTGGAACTAATCTCACAATAAATCTTCTAGAATACCTTCGAATCAACACTTTGATGAATGAGGAATAAAGCATTGTAATATATTTTCTTGCCTTTATCGTGTGCATTCCTTTGTGTTGCACTTGCATCTTCGGGTAAAGCTTCAACGCATGATTCCACCATATCACAAACATTTTTGTGCACCAAATATCACCTTCATTTTAGTCATCAATTTATTCTAATTCTTGTTATTGAGAAAGGATAAGTGCGCTGTAAAATTTTCATGACCCACCATAATTGATGTCTCTTACAATCACTTGAGTTCCCTATGATCAATAATTTGTTGGGAATAATAGTTGAGAAGAAGAGAAGAATAAAGAGTTTGAGAATAATATTTGAGACTGAAAGATGATTATTTTTTTTATAATAAATAACTTCATTCAATTATTAAAACAAAAGGAGTACAAGTAAAAAGACAAACATTGAGTGAGGGAATTTTCCAACCTCAAACTAAAATCAACACTAATAGCTAAGCCTACTAAGAGTTGGACAACAATAAACTTGTAGAGATTAGAATCCAAAAGAGTAATACCAATTCAATCCTTTAATCCTAGCAACCAAGCAACAATCTTCCATAATAGATAAACGAGTTTGGGAACTACAATCTTTGAATATATCCAGTTACGAATCATTTATTTGACTCTATTGCGCACAGTTCAATTATATTGATTCTCTAATTTGAATAAATGCATCATCTCTGAAAGAAGCCTTTGTTGGAAGGAAGATAGAAACTGGTTAGAAATCATCCTTAAATTTTTACTCCAAAACCCATTATCATCATCCAAGCCTCTTTGGATCAAAACATCAAACACCATGAAGACCCATTAAAGATAAGTTAAACTAAAGCATAACACACACAACTGATGCAAAACACCAATAATAAGATGCCAATGTACACACAATAAGATACTCCAAAAAGCAAAACACTTTCGAGCCATATTGTCAAACACCAAGAGTGTAGACATAGATCCCAAAAGAAAACAACACAAGACAAAAACCACAAAACTAAAATTAGATGAAAGGAGGAAGAAATCGTAAACCTTAGGCAATCCATGGTGGCTTTGGAGTTGGGTGAATGGTCAATACCATCGAAGATGTGGGAGGGCTAATGGTGGCTCTGATGGCGTCCGCGTCAGCAAAAGGAGCTTTGGAGATGAACTATTGGTTGACAACTCTGGAGGTGTGAAAATAGTCGTGGGTGGTGGCTCCGGTGTCGGCCACTTCAGAAGGAAGAGGGGTTTGGCGGTGATTCAGGGAAGTGAGGCGAATGCAGATGAAAAGGGTTAGCCGATAAAAGGGAGTGATACTCTCTCCATAGAGGAAGGGAGGAGACAACCAGGAAGGTGAGAGAGAAAAACACCATAAAGATGGGGAACAGCCGCCAAACCCTAGAGGATCGGGGGGAACTTTCTAGAGAGATTGGAGAACTTCTCTCTTTAAGATTTGATCATATTTTTTCAGATGATTTTTGCATTAAATTATATAAGAGTTACTTATATACAAAGTAATTTATACTTGTTCACCAAGTAACTCTTAACATTTGCAAGAAAAACTCGATAATTACACCAAGTTCACCTAGAAACATAATTACACCAAGTTCATGAATAGTATACGAATTTTAATTCACATCAAGGTGTTGTGTGATTATATGTTTGTCATCAAAAAAAAACTCTCTTAACATGAAAGTTACACATTAGGATTTCAATCTCATATTCAGCCCATGAAAATTTTTGGAATGGTTTATCTTAGAGAACCCAATCTTGATTACCAAGTTATTGTTTTCTCTATTAGTTTTTCTTCAAACCTATATAAAGACTTTAATGCTAAATTGTAGTAGAGAAAAAAGTATGTGGTGAATTCAATAAAATCGAGGTATTTCAAAGCCTAACCTCCAGCAATGGGTTTAATGCAAAACGTGACAGAAAAATATTTTCTTACTCTGAATTCCGTAACAATATGATTTATCAAATATCACTTCTAAAATACCACCAACATCTTCAATTGAGTACACTCATCATTAGAGAATAATAATTCTTTTGAACTATGACATTATTGTTAATAAAGACAACTTAAAACCTATTAATAGAGTAGTATTTCTTCAATTGATTTGTTAATTTTGCTGAGTTATAACTATATGTGTAGACTAGTGTTGGGATAAATTTGAGATTCGTCATCATATGAATTGGTTAAATTAGAGATGTGAAAATTGGCAAGATAAAGAAAAACCAGCAATCTACAAAATTGACTTCAAAATTCAAACCAAAACAAGTTAATAGTTACTCCACAGTAAATCATGAGTACACACATTCTTGAAGTTGTACTTCCCTATTTATACAAAACCCATAAACATTTCAAATCATCATTTAAAAAAAAAACATTCATAATCATACACTTTCATTCCATTGCCAAATCAAGTACATGTCTTCTCTTGCTTATTCCCAACTGAAAACACAATCAACATTTATTCAAATCTTCAATCCCAAACTAACTAAATAAAAAACAATAAAAATAATAAATTAGGTAAGATTCTAACTCACGTGTAAATGCAGAAAGCTCTGTACTCTTCAACACTCGAAGCCTCTTCACTGTTGATACAAACATACTGCCAAACACATACATAACACATTAACTATTATAATAACAATAACAACCCATATAATTAAATAATAGTACTATGCAGAAATCTCGTATATTTTTATCATATAGTTTATTTGTATTATTTCTAAGAGGGGACATAGAACAAATGTTATGTTATGGCATGTAGTGCTACAGATTTATTCTCAACACTTGTCAAAATATAAATGGTTGCATATAATTATATATATATTAAACACAAGGAATCTAAAAAATTGTTACAGTATTGGAATAAATTATGATTATTATAATATAGCATGAAGATGCTTACTGCCATGGGACATCACCAACAAGCATCCTGTCTCCTTCATTATCCTCATATACAAGAGTATATTCTCCACTTCCATCCAATATTCCAATAATCACTTTTTCTTCATCTTCATTACTTTTCTTACTTCCACAACCAGAACAATCTCCTTGAGCTATACACAAAACAATAATTATAAACTACTATGTATCAAGTGTTCCAAAAAATATAGTGTTACAAAAAAAAATATATTAAGTGTTACCTTTAAGGAGTCCTCTGAAGAGTTCATCCACAGCTATGGAGAGATTTTCATAACTATGATAAGCTTTGAGATCAACTTTTCTACCAATAGGAACACCATCCATGTTGATTTTAACAAACAAACCTTTACTACCATAGTTGTTATCAACAGGTTTTTTACCAGCAACAACCTTGTTATGATGTTGAGTCTGAGAATCAGTTTGTGATGTTGGTTTAGAAATACTGCTTGTTGCAAGATTCTTCCTGAATGAACGTATAGGTGGCCAACCTACTACTGGTCCAGGAGCAGTTCTGTTTTATGGTAGGGTCCATACACAAAGATAAGGATGATAATGAACAGTACATGAAGATTAAAAAAAGTGTAAGTTTTAATTGTATCAGTATTCAGTACATGAAGATTTGCATGTTTTTGTGAAACATGAGTTTTATGTATTAAAATAGCATGTAGTAATTAATAATGAAAAAACATGATATTAAAATCTTGCACTAAAAAGTGTAACAAAAGAACACTAGATCTATTACTACTACACACAAAAAAAACTGGTAGAAAGGAACAGAACAGAAAACTTGCATGGACCACAAGAGTAGGAAAAAAACAAAGTGACAGTGTGAATGAATATCCTCTGTCTAAAAAGTTTTAAAAAAAATAAAAATATATAAAAATAAAAAAAAGTTTGATGTAGAAAGTGTATAGTACCTTTTCTGAGAAGTGTTGGAAACAGCTGTAACTTTGTTATTATCACCATTCTGTAAGTCTACTAGCTTAGGACAAGAGGGTTGTGATGATGAAGATTCTTTGGCTCTCATCACATGTTGTTGGTTTGATGGAAAGTGAAGAAATGATGATGTATTGTTTGTTGGAAAGTAATTACTAGTACCAAGAGAGAGTTTAGAGTCATGATCAAAATCAAGATCTCTTTGTTTGTTGTTGGTGTGAAACCAGTTTTCAACACCAGGTGGAGCAAGCCTTAGTTCTAGCTTTCTTTCCTCTGAAGATTCTCTTTCATTTCTTGGCATTTCATTCATCACTGGAGAAATAGAAAACAAAAACAAAAACAAACCTGAGAAAAAATGGAACAAAAAACAACATGTGTGTTATATTTGTTTGAGTTAGAGTTAGAGTAAGAGTTAGCATGCATACCCTTATGTGAAAAAAGAACAAGAGAGTTTTAGAGACAGAAAGATTCTACAATGAAAGCTTTAAAGAAGAAGAAGAAGAAGATATAGTAGAAATATTATAGAGCAAAGTTGAAGAGAAAAACCCCACAAAGAGAGAGTGTGATGATAATAGCAAGAGATTGTGATATAGTTTTGGTTTGGTTTGATTTGCTTTAAGTCTTTTTATTTGCACGCTTAGAGGGTCCTATAGTTTCTCTCTCCTCTTATTTTTTAAGAGAGAGAGAAGATAATACACGCAAACAATGAACAACGTTGGGTTGTTTATCACAGGAAGTAAAGTAGTATAGTATGTATGTTGTGTTGAATGCTGACCTTGGCTAAAGATACTCTCTCTCTCCTTCTCCTGCTGATGATGCTACTGGCTTTCAGTTTCAAACACACTACCTATGCGGTTATGCCTATTCTTTATAGCTCTCTGCTATGTCTCTTCTCTTGTTACAAGCACACTAACCTATAACTTTTTATTAGTTTTCTGTCATTGAAAGTGACTTTTTCGATTAACTTTGGGAAAATGCTTAACTTTTTTGTTTTCTGATTAATCACACTGTCAATTTTCCTCTTGATCAAGGTCAATTAATAACATCATATTTACACTATTTAAAATTAGGATGCTACACTTTTAAAAGATGACTAAACACTTTCTTGCATGAATACTCACCCTATATATACGTATTTGTACAGTAAAAAGGACTTTTTTAATGTTTTTTATTTAAATACTAGTAATAAAGAAATCTTTTTATAATATTAGATTCATTTAAATAAAATTTATTTGAAATTTCGATTTCAAATATGAATAATCACACTCATTTAAATAAATGTGTATTGCAAAAAAAAATGTATAATATAATTAAATACTACTGTACGATTTAGAATTGTAAATGATCGATGAAACTATAAGATAATATATTTTATTGCGATAGACTTGAACTTCTAGTATGGTGAAGAGGAAACTAACATGTATGATTAGTATTTTAACGTTAAAGTGACTTAGAGAATAACCAGTAATGTGTGAGTGATAAGGGATTTGAATACTTGATAATGGTGTCACTACGCCAAAAATAAGTTTTAACAGCACATAAAAGAAAGCGCTTTTGGAAAAAAGCGCTGCTGTAGGTTTCAAAAAAATTCGCTTAAAAAAGCGCTTTCAAAGGGTGCCTTAAGAAAGCGCTTTTCAAAAGCGCTGCTAAAGGTCAGCCTTAGAAAGCGCTTTTCCAAAACGCTGCTAAAGCTGGACTTTAGAAAGCGCTTTTAAAAGCGCTGCTATAGGATATGCTACGAAAGCGCTTTTTGATGTAAAAGCGCTGTTATTGATGACCTTTAGAAAGCGCTTTCAAAAGCGCTTTCGTAGGTAGTTTTATAATAAATATCAAAACACAATTTGTATCACTTTTCTATTCTCAGTCAGATTTTCTTCACGAAAAAACCTTAAACCAGAGCTTCTACGGCGGTCAACGACGCTCCACTTCTCTGGCCAACTGCAATTCGTATCAGGTTTCATTTTTTTCCTCATCTCGTATGTGTTTGTCTGGTTTTCGTGTGCTTTTGTTTGGTTAATGATTTTGAGCAAGCATGGTTTCTACTGTCATAGAAGTTATTAAGAAGTTGTGCATAGAAGTAACATGCTAAGAGAGAAATAATGGTAGGGAACATTATCGTTGTTGTCATAGTATTATTCTCCATCACTTTCTTACAAACATTGAACATCTTTTGTATTCTGTATTCATCTTCAAAGAATGTTTCTTTCTGTATTCTTCGTCATATTTACACATATCCATAACATTTTCTGCAAAATAAACTTTATTCTTCTTTTTCTTCATTTCCTTTCCATCTGTTCAGGAAAAACAACACATCATTATGTTAAAGGCGAGACAAACAATGATAAAGGCAAGGCAAAAAACCAAAACAAACAATGTTAAAAAAATTTCATTTAGGGTTTCTTGATAACTCAAAAAAACTTAGATAAGACAATGTCTTTGTTCTTCCTCATCACCCATCTCTTCGGACCCTAATTTACAAACGAAAAGCAACAACAACATGAAGATAAACAGAAGAATAACATAAATAAAGGAATTCAAAATTGACAATAGGTTAAAGATTATATTTTTCCTAAATTGTTAGTAGATAACAACGGAAAGGTTTAAGATTCCACCAATGATGAAAGATCAAAGCAGGAGCGTAGAGAAAATGAAGGGATTTTTCCATTGATTATGGTTTTTTAGATTATTGACAATTTTTTGGATTTTTGTTGCTTTTGATTTGATGTTATTATTATGAAAGAAAAATAAATGGTGATGAGATGGCATATTCCATGCGTTTTCAGTGAGGAAGAGGAAAGAGTGTAGAAAAACGATTTTGAAGCTGTTTGTTTTGTTTTTTCTATTTTGTTTTCAGTGTGTTTCCCATGCAAGTTTGTTGTTCAATTGTGATAATGGTAAGGAAGGAATCATAACGTTGGAATAATGCAATTTTGAAGTTATTAAGAAGTTGTGCATAGCTGAAATTTTTTTTAAACATTTCAATGAATATAGTCTAATATTAATTATGTTTTTATTTAAGGTTGTTATATGACAAATTGATGCGCGGGAATCAATTGTCAAACAGATTCCCTTTCGTGTCTTCCTCCCGTGTCAGCGGAGCGACAATTGGTAGGGAACCAGATTCAGTAAGAGAGCACTTAGTCGAAAGATTCATGGCAACTGGCAGTACAGAAAGCTTATATCTTTGGGTGTATAATACTATTCCTACAGGGTTAGATTTTCATTCTAAGTTCATTTTAATATTTGTAATTTTTGCGTAGAATTTTTTTTTCTAAACTGTTGTTTTAATTTATAGACGTCGCTGGTTGTTGGTTGCTATCGATCCTATAAAAGAAGTGGTCTATTATCTGAATTCGGTTGACGGTGATTGGACAAATTATCTGGATATGAAGTTAATGATTGATACGTAAGTGAGATTATTCTAAATATTTGTGTGTATTTATATATTTAATTATTTCTGTGACATTGTTCTAAATATATATTTTTATTTTGTTAGAGCGATACAAGTATTCCGGTGTCAAAGAGAAGCTCGGGTACGACGGTCTAAATCAAACAACATTAATTGGATCAAAGTGCAGGTATATTAATTTCCACTATTTTGCTTATAATATTTATGTTATTTGATAAAACAATACAACTATATATTCTTATTTGTTTTTCTATGTAGTGTCCTCAACAGCAAAACGGTATAGATTGCGGATACTTCGTTATACGGTTTACCAAAGAAATCCTTCAACTTAATCAAATAGAGATTCCAGTCACGGTATGAATTTATAACTTAGGATTTGTTTTATTATTTCTCGGATATTTCATATAATTTTTTACTTTTAACTAAATCATGCATATTATGTTTTGTTATGTAGTACTTCGATGAATACAAATGTGCATATTACACGAAACTTCAGTTGGAAGAAGTCAAAGAGGAATTGTGTCAATATTTTATTGAGAAGAGAATCATATAAGGTATGAATACATTATTATGTGAAAAGTGTTATGAATACGTTACATGTGTACATGGAATACCATATTGACCGTGTTATTATGTTCAAACCTCGCAGGACCAGGACCTTAATACATAATTGACCGTGTTTCTTTCATACATTAGGACTGGTTTAGTTGTTGTTAGGGTTGATTTTGTAAGACTGATTTTGAGTTACAATGCTGATAACAATGGTTTTTATATATTTTGAGGTACAAAAATGGTGTATATATATTTTGGATTACAATGGTATACAATGCATTATCGCGGTTTATGAATTACAGGTTATGGCAACTGGTTTACATAAATAATATGCTGCAAACAATGCAGGTATATGAATTATATAAATTATACCTCTAAAAAAAACACCCTATGAAAGCTCTTTTTCAAGAAAAATGCTGCCTTAGATAACCTATGAAAGCGCTTTTTCACAAAAAGCGCTGTCTAAGGTAAACATATGACAGCGCTTTTCCAGAAAAAAGTGTTGCCTTAGGTAGACCTATGAAAGCGCTTCTTCATAAAAAAGCGCTGCCAAAAGCCTACTTAAGAGAGCGCTTTTTAGAAAAAGTGTTGTATTAGGTAGACCTACGAAAGCGCTTTTCATTAAACAAAAAGCGCTGCTAAAACCTATAGCAGCGCCATCTACGAAAGCGCTTTTAAAGGCAAAAAAAAGCGCTTTTGTAAGTCTTTTTCGGCGTAGTGTGTGTCTTCTTTCTTATATAGTGGGAGTGATTAAAATTGTCTACGAGAAGTGCAGCGTGCAATGTGAACAATCGTTTGATTAATCTGGACGATGGTTGATGTCTCAAGGGGTATAGTTGTCTGCTTTATGTTCCTAACGTTCGCTTTTCCTCCAGACCTTTCGTCTTGTGCCTTGACTAAAACCAACCAGTTCAAAGATACCTAATTTGTCATGTATTTATGAGGTTGGTCTGTGATGGACATGGGCTTAGGTCTGGAAACCCAAGCTCCTATTGGACGACTCATGGCATGTCATATCGAGCCTGCCTTTTTGGCCATATGCCCTTTCATTTGTACGTTTGAGCTAATTGATTTATGGATTGTTCCCCTCTAGGTCCAATGAAAGTTGCCTTTGTTCATGGCTTTTCAAGCACCAAGCCTTTGGAAAGGCGGAGTGATTAAATTGGGTGAACGTCGACCTCTTGTGTAAAATAAACTTAGGGGAGAAAGTCTCAGGAAAAGCTTGAAGGGCGAGTCCCTCGCGCGAGGCTTTTGAGGGTGAGTTTCTCACTCGAGATTTGGAGAATGAGTTCCTCAAGCGTCAAACGTGGGGAGCACGTGAAGCCTAAAAATGCTATGTGATGATGAGT